AACGGTTCACAAGTACAAAGAGGATAGTTATTAACAGAGAACTGTTTATGAAAGTTATTTCCAAGAATTGTTATACTGGAACCAGTATCCAAAAGACCAATAATATTTTTATTATCCGCAACTACAGAAATAAATGGACGAGAAAAGAATTTATTTTCATTTTCTTGGTTCAAACTGATTACTTTACACTTATCGCGAACTGGAGACGAAGAGCGGTTAGAAAAGACTTTTTTTTTAAAGGACGACCTATCGAACCTATGAGACTGTCTTCTATGGTCAGTAAAATTAGTGCGTCTCCAGTTCTGGTTAATTAGTTTTTTGATTTGGCAATATTTTTACAATTTGGACATTCTGGAACACGAACACCTGGTTTACCACACCTAAAACAAATAATTTTCCGAGGCTGTGTACAACTTCTTAGATCGTGCGTGTTATTGCGACACCTAGGACAAAACTTTTTTCCTGCAGCAATCGCAGAAATAATCGCCCTGTTAGAAATAAAAGAATTTTTAACTAAACTTTTTAGTGGGTGGTGGTGTTCCTCACGATATGCGAACTCAGGAGCAAGTGTCTGTGCATTTGAAGGAGACGGTTCAGCAAAGTTTGATAATTGACCTTGAATTTTCTCAAAATTTTGGCAAGCGGCCTTAAGAGAGTTAATTGAGGAAATGGGTGAAGCTGCGGCTAGAGTGTTGGCATAACACGGTCTCACATTGTGCGACAAAATTTCTAATTTATCCTCCTCCGACAAGGACCTGTCCAGACGCGAAAACATACCTTCCATTATTGAAAGGTAAATGGAAATGGATTCGCTCTTTCCCTGTGTTCGTGAACGAATTTCAGATATGAAACGGTAGTCGAAATCATGGGGACTAAAATCGGCCTTGAGCAAAGGTAAAAGTTCCGTCCAAGTAGATACCCTCGGTTTTACGCAGCGAAACCAATGAAGTGCTTCATCCGTAAATATCTCGTAACCAAATGAGAGAATTTTCTCATGAGATATTCCTCTCGATTCAACAAATTCATTAATTCTTTGAATAAAAGATCGAACGCAAGTCTTACCATTGAATTTAATTTTATTTATATCTGCCGTATTTTGTCTTTCGACAGTAACGTTAATTATAGATTTTTCTAGATCGGATACTAATTGTGTCGGTAGTTTTGATTTTGGTTCAACATAAGGCTTCAAAACAAGTAAATCTTTGTATTGAGAATCAAAGTTAAGTTTACAACTATCAAAAACTTTAATCAAGGCATCACTAGGATCAATTCTATTCAATCGGTGATATATTTGATTAAGCAAAAACTCAGTTCTGAGAAATAAATTTTTGTCGAATTTAATTTTTAGGGTAGATAAATTATTAAATGATTTAGCTAAACTTTCTTGAACACCTTCAATGTCTTCGTCTGGTTCCAGATGGGAAACAAGAATGTCCTCTGGAGAAATTTCCTTATCAAAAATAACTATTTGTTTCCTCAACTCGGCCACGGATGTACCGGGAACCAATCCACGTAGACCAACTTCATATTCAAGTTCAGACTTGTTTAAAGAAAAAAAATTAATAGGGTATTCACCGGCCATAATGAAAGCAATGACTTCTAACGCGGTAGAAAAATTGAAAAGTGATTAAGGGTGAGTGTTCCGTCGAAGCTAACACAAATTCACAGTCGCGTAAAACGTTTGAAATTCAAATTGACGGTAAAAAAAAATTACTAAGAAGTGGGTAGTATCTATAGTTTCAAAATTTTAGTTTTTTTGAAATAGTTAATATCAATTTAGATTATAAAATGTAACCAATTATTTGAAAACCGGATGCTAAACACAAGCGGTTAAACCAAGCGGAAATGACCGTAATAATGTTATTTCTTTTTAAATTTGCAAAAAAAAAATTTATTATAGAATGATTAATTGGTTTTACAGCTACCAAATGAGGCAGGAACTTGACTCTAAAATGAGTGTGAGATCAGTCGAGATCACACCCAAAAAGGAAAAACTTGTTACCCACTTTTTAATAAAATATAAGAAAAAAAATTAGAAATAAACAAGAACCACAGAGCGAGCGAAATCCTGAGCGAGCCGGGCGCCACTGAAGCGTTGGGGTTGTAGATGGGGGGTGTGAAGCACCCCCAGGCTTCAGGTATAAAGAATAAAAGTAATAATAAAGTTTAACAATCTTTATTTTAGTTCTCAGGGGGTAGGTTAAGATATTCGCTCGTTATGGTTCTTGTTTCTATAATTACGAGGGGAGGACTTAGCTTTTAAGTTTTGCAATTAGTGAGGACTTCGCGGGTTCGGCGTCACGGGCCGGGCAGAGGCTGAGAAGGGTGTAGACCCGACGTCAGCTCCGGTCAGCAGCACCGAAGGTCCACGAAGCTCCGGAGGACTGGAGTTGATGAAGAAGTAGAACTAGCAGTAGAAACTAGCAGTAGAAGCAGCAGTAGAAACAGCAGTAGAAACTACAGCATAAAACACGACGTAGGGCATCGACAAGGCCGTGTAATGCGTTGCGTGTCGTGCGGCCGGTACGTGCGTGCTGGAGCAGTGGATGAGCACCTTTAAGGAGCCACTTAAATTTTAATATTGCATATTTTTGTCATACGTTGATACTATATCGTAGTTATAAAATATAATATCACTCTATTATTATTTATATATTTAACATAACTTAATAACCCATCATCTGGACGACAGAATTTGTCTTAGAGAAGCATCCAAGCGAAATATTGCATATTGTCCGAGGCAAAACTTCTTCAAGCTTTCGTTATACGACAAACTGCCAATAGACATATACAAGTATATATAAATTAGGTCATCTTCTTAATATAAAATATTTTTCAGTATAGCGTTGTGAATGTTCAATTCAATTCAATTTATTAATTTCAAAGAACTTTGATACATAATCATTTATATTAATAACTATTTATCTATTTCAGAAAGACATTTCATGTAATGCAGGTATTTGTGTTCTTATATTATTGATATATTCCATTATTTCTACCCCTTTTATATGTGGGAAGATTTTAGGGATAAAAGCTATCCTATGTCATTTCCAGGGTTAGTACGTACCCTGGAAACCTACGTACTATATTTTATCTCAATTACTTTAGTCGCTTATACGCCTGGAAATGAAAGGCAATATATGCTATTTCAGCCGTATTTAAACGTTTTAAACACAGTGTGATCGCAGCCTTAGAGTAAAGGCATGTTCCTTACGTTAGATAGTACTGCCAGGGTTGGCAGATCATTGAAGCTGGAATACAAAATATCTATAATTTTGTTCATCTTATAGATAGATAAATAAATAGTTGATGAATTATATTTTTACAAATACATAGTTCAGTCGTATTGATTACTATATAATCAGTGAAAACAAACTATTATTTATATATAGAGTGCATGTTGGTTTGAGTGAGCGCGATCTTTAGGAACTTCTAGATAGGAGTGTCGAGAAACAACTGATAGTTTCCTAGGTGGACGACATCTCCTAGCTAGTCTATATAACATACGTCTTACGATCCATTACTGTGGTGACGTTAGTTCGTAGGGATTGCTAAATGTCATTACGTTTTGACTCGCCAAAAGTCCATAGTATTTATTTAACTTTCTTTCAGATAGCATTATAAAATAAGTTCACTCTACTGACAACCCTGATTACGAGTACAGATTGGAATGTAATCACTTGAAATTCCCAATACGGCATGCGTTTCGATCAAAACCACAGGCTGTCGGCTATCAGACGCAATCAATGCAATTCAAGGGGCATACTATTGAAACTAAATAATATATTGTGTAGTCCATAGTGCTCTATCCTACTCTAAGATGTGAATAATACTAAAGATAGAGAGGAATAGAAGACAAAACAGTAAACGAAATATATAATGTAGATTTCAGGAATATAGATCTAATCTTAAGAATATGTCACTCCGTTTTAATATATGTGCAAAATTCGGACTCCTGGGTACTAACCACTATTGAGATCAGTAAACACATTTCTCATCTGATCTAACCACATACAGACTCAGATAAGTTAAATTTACGGTTTAGAATTACGGATATTTCTCTAAGGAGCTTGCCTATATAGTGCTTAAAGCGTTTGGTCTGCCATTACGATAGTTCAGCAATTTGAGTAAAGGCGTCATATTAAATGCGTGACTTTTACTAACATGCACGTTAAATACTCTGCAGTTAGGTAGGTATTTTTACACACCGATCTCTTCTCAGTCTCCATTCAAGTAGTTTGAATTGGTGTGTAACCCATTCCCCATTTATTAATCTATCAATAAGAAAAGTCAGAGCATTGGGGACAATAATAAGCTGATGATGAACATAAATTTCGTCTATATTTTTATATCTGTTTTTCATAGATCTATGACTTTATTATGACTCGCCATTCGTTCATGTTAAATTAATTGATAAGTATGTATAAAACTAAACCATCTACTACTTGAAAATTCATTTATACATTACTTATTATTTAAAATCTCATTTTATAAACAAATTTCATTAAAAATTCAAATATTTTATCATGCTTCTATTTGTAACGATTCTATATAAAAAACTCGCTGTAACATAAATTAATGGAAGCTATAAATCATTTGGTCTGACAAAAACAATCTTGTACAAAGAAAATATTTATTTTCACTTAATTAATTCTATTTTTAATATTTTACATTTAAAATTTATTGTGAAGCTATTGTAGCGAAAATATCACTAACAACCAAGACTAAAATATCATTAACCTTTTATAACAGAGGATTATAAGCATTCACAATAGAAAGCTCAATCAGAATGGTGGAATCGAAAAGTTTAATTAAAACAATCTAAAATGGTTTTCCTTTATTTATACTAAAGCTACTGTAACAACGGCGCCAATCCAAATTGCTTTTGAAATACTACAGTAAATCATACTTTAATATTGAGCAAATAAAGTTTACTATTTCTGTATCACATTTTTTACTAATTTATTTAACTTACTTACTTCGTTTGAATTCTAACTTAATTATCTGTCATATGCAACTCCATTCATGTGGCTACCTTCATCACTTAAAATATTATCTAGAACTTTTTCTTCTTCCTCGGATACACTATCACTGTGACCATTCAGTAATTCCTCAATTACTTTATCATCTTTCTCTTCTACATCACCATTAACAACATCCTGTTCATTAGTTGACTCAGCTATCGAAACACTGTTGTCTTCAACAGAATTATCACTATTCATTTCAGAAACATCCTGTATACTTTCTTCTTCTTCAATGATGCCACCAAGACCGTTTAATTGTTTGGATGTATCTATTTTACTGACATGTCCGTTGACATTTGTTTCATTAACAGTATTATTATTATTTATATTATTATCATTTTCATTTACACCATCTTCTTCTTTACTTTTAATATTAGATTCTGTAGAATCTTTATTTTCTGATGTAGGTTTAAGACGTTCTTGTAATCTTTGGAGTTCAGTTTTTCCGTCATCTTTAGATTTTAACTTTAAATTACTTAGACTATCAAGAACAATATCTTCAGCTATTCTGTTGTAAGGTTGAACCGGGAATTTATCTCTGTAAATAGTAAAAAAATGCTATTGAGCATGATAATAACGAAGAAAAATAGGAGAACAATTATTATGTTAAATTCAAGAATGTGTTATTTAAAGTTATTAAGGGTAAGAAGTATATAATATGAAATCTGCCTCTGTATGTAATTGTTTCAGCGATTAAAATATACTTAATTTCTTTAAGTTGTTCGATAAGCTCTTTGTGGAACACCTATTGAGAAGAAACATCTATAGTAGCGTAGAAATCAAGCAAATCACTTGTACCTTGTTTTAATAATAGGAATATGAGCAAAATATTAGTAGGTTTTTATTATGAGGGTTTTATTTAGAAATCGACAGTGGGATCATATAGTTTGCCATTTGCAAGTTTTTCTTACCATTATATTCCTCCATCTGTGATCAGCTTCGAGACCTTAATAACTGATAATGAGATAATTGATGAGAAAATGTAATGTTCATTATGAATTGAAATTGTGCTATTCCATTCTCATTATGAAGCACATACACATTTACAACGTTTACAAACCTGTGATTCTCTTCGAATTTGCTTGGCACCATGAAACAGTTGGACTCCCTATAGATGATCCTTCGCTTACTAACCCATGGCCATTGTAAACTCCAGTAACTGCTCTGAAAATCATAAATGCATCTATGAGTGTTTAATTTGCCAAGACCATACAAAGGTCTTCTATAAGAGTTACCTTAACCTCGTTATAGTTCTGTGAGTGTAAATAAAATAGCAATAAATTACTTAAAGTCTATTTCATAACTGTTTAAATAAAACAATAAGAAAATTTAACAAAGATTTAAATTTACAAATTTCGTCTTGATCTATTCAAACTTCTGAGGCAATCCCGTTATTGTTCGTTAAGTAAATAAAATATGGAACAGCATAAATTATTCAAACAAGACTATCGATTAAAGTTATTATTGAACAGCCCAAACTTTTACGAAGCCAAGGGAAACTAAAAGTTCCTGGGACGTGTTATCGACAGCTCAACCCATATTGAATATTGTCCAACTTCTTATTCCTACCCACTAAAACTTATAGTTGCCGTTTTGGGAAAATATTGCAGACGATACAAACAAACTCTTGGGACATCTTGGGTAGTTCATATTAACTCAAATTAATAATATATCTATTTCATAAAACTTGCTATATATACGATTGTTAGGAAATTAGGTAAAAAATAAGGCACAAATGGCAAAGATTTTGAAAGAAGTTAAAGAAATTATTTAAGCTACTTATGCTTTACGCAATTAAATTCATCGTCGCACACAATTGTTTTAAACTTCCAATCATTTTCAATTACTATCAATTCTAAATATAACTGAATGGAAACAGCAAATGCTCTATCAAAACTAAAACAATATGGCTACCCACAAGCGTAGCCCATCTGTAAAAAGTTCATTGTCAACTCTAGTGGCCAAAACCTAAATCCAATACCTAACGGCCATATTGATGTTCTATGACCCATACAATATAGCTAGGGAAAACAAAAGTCCCTTTTATTACACTTAAAGATAATGCACCGACCTTTAGAATACTGAGTATGCCAGCTCTCTATGACTCTAATATATAACAATCAGTAACAGCTGCTTGAAAAATTTGTCAGTTTTGTTAGGTCCTGGGTAGCTCAGGGGTTAGAGCAGCCGCCCGGACTACGAAAGGTCACGGGTTCAAAAGGTAGAATTGTTAAGCATTTTTCATTTAGAATATTTTTCAGCATAGCATGCTGAATTTGTGAATGGTAAATTCATCAAATATAATAAGATAAATCACTTATTTAATAGACCACTACAAACTTACCACACGCGCGTGTACTTGGCGTTTCCTGGCCTTTTCCTCTTCTCTCAGCCTCTCTTCTTCACTATCATACCCATCTTCCTGATAACAAAAAATATCCAGTTTTTAGTTACGACGATTTTGAGGAAATGACTTCGAGCAAACATGATGCGCTTATTAATTGCTGTTGACAGTCTGATAATATTTAAAAATTCGTAACGATTTGTCAATCACAATGCAAACGCCGTCTGATTTGTCTGTCATTCGTATTTCTTTTTATGTAATATTATATTTTATCTAAGCGTCTATGCATTGTGATCGATGGAGTTATTTCTTTAGATTATTTTTGATTAATTTTGCGTATAAATTTCTAAATTAATATGTAGGTAATCTACAAATATAAAATTTCGAAAACTTCAGTGAAAATAGGTGATCCTGCATCTATGAGTAATCTTTCAGTGTTTCATATTCTAATCATATTCCAAGACATCATTAGTTTTATTATATGAAAATTCTATATTTCCTGGGAAGACCTTGCTCCCCGAATGAGTCGTCTTTGACAACTTACAATAATAATTGCCCTTTTGTGTCAAACAACACGTTACAGCAAACCAATACACGAACTGTTGAACTAATTTAGACCCTCACTCTGAAAGCAATTTCAATACTAGAGGTATAACAGTTTTATTAATAAACAAGATTTTGCCTTGGAGTTAATTTACGTTGAGACTAAATCAAAATCAAAATTGTTTATTCAGCTTAGGCTTTTACAGAGCACTTGTTAAAGTTGAAAGCTACGCCATCAGTTCGCAAAACTACGGCGGGAGACCTAGAGAAGAACTAGCAAATACATAGTATCAGTCAAATTCATATGATTAAACAGAGACTTAGCAAAAGTTAACCTAATACGAGGTTCTACGTGAGTATTTTACTCTTAAAAGGTGGTAGGTTAGCTTATTCTCCGTATGATATGAATTTAGACGAATACCAAAATTGCAATTTTGGCAAAAATTTACTCTGCTGCTTGCTAAACCTTGTTTATTAATAGCACCGTAGAAGTTTAAACTGTGAAATCAACAATTATAGATCTACTGCCCTATGATTCTGCCTTTATTAAAGACTAAATACACATGAAGGCACAGTGGTTTTTTCTGACGTACTTTTAAGATAAGATAAAACTCTCGCTAATGGTAAACGAGCATTTGAAATCTTTGATTTTAGTTTGCATTACTTTATGGGTAGATTATGTGTTTATCTTTTTTTAAAAATGGTTTATTATGTCCGTATGTATTCTAAATAAGTATGCTGAGTAGTAGTTCCTTCATTTATTAGTGATAGGAGATCATACCAGTTTAAATTATGATTGTAATTATAAATGTAACTAAAGGTTTCTTAATATTAAAAGAGGGTATTATTGATTTTGAGGCAATTTCCAATTAAGTGATTCATCGTTTGAGTAGTGGTATTATTATACGGGGTTTTGTCGGTATTTTTTATTTTAAAATTGTGGTTATACTCTGGTAGCCGTAGTTAGTAAAGAGTTCAATTAATTTATATTGGCCTTTAGTTGTTAAGTATGTTAGTTAGGTCGCAATGGTTAGTCGCATTTACATCCACTAAACCCAGCCCAGGTGGTGGATTATGGTCGGTTATCTATTATAATGGAAGACCTGTGCTACTGCAGTGGGGAAAATTGTATGATAATGATTATGTTGAATTTTATTTTACTTATTTGAAATGATGATGAAAATCATGATTAAAGAATGACATCAGCTATTTAGAAATGATTGCAGACAATAAAGATAAAATGAAGTGATGATTTATGAGAAACGATAAAATATATTATGCGTGTAATGCAAATTATTATTTAAGTATGAATATGTAATGAGTATAAGAAGTATGAATGTATTAATTAGTTAAATATAGACTGAGTGAATGATGATATGTGTGATAAAGGAATGTTAAGACGACGGCCGAACCAGAAATTTGGAAAGAATTGGGTCAAGGTCAAGCAAATAATTATGATGAGGGAACTTATATTAATTATGTTAATAATTTGGTAACTGTTTCGATTTTTGAAATGATTTATTGACTGAATACTGATTAGGATTATAATAATTATGTGCTACAGCGATATTTTCTATGGACTTTTACTCTCCGAGGACTAATACATCAAATGGCCAATTGGTCAAGCATATCGCACACCTAGATCTAAACTAAGACAACTCAAAAAACTAATGTGGAGGTCTGACAATACATTTGTTTACGTGGCAGGAGCGCGACCACTGTTGATTCGATAAAAGAAATCTAAAGTTATCTAGCGGCTCATCCCCGAACTTTTATTGAATCAGTTATGTTGGATAGATGCGTATGATCACCGAGAATTTGAATATTGTACTAAGTCAAAACTCACTCAAATTTTTGAGTTGTCTCAGTTTAGATCTAGTTGTGCGATATATAAAATTTGACGTATTCTAAAGAACCGGTCTTGCTATTTTAATAGCAACTAGAATATCAGAATAATTATTTTACAGCCCAAAATTTATCTCAAATATCTTCAAAATTTAAAATAGAAGGTTAAACGTTAAGTGCGTTTTGATTGAAACAGATGAAACCAAATGAAAGACCCATGTAGAAGGAAATTTGTGTAATTAATACCTACTGAATGTAATTACAAATCACCTACGAATTTCCCAATGAGCCTCTATTTCGACATTCCCACTAGCTTAGGGCTGCTTCTCTTATTCAAATTCTAAACTTGGGCCCTGAAATAATAGTTACTTGTACTACAAAATACAGTCCTTTGTATTTAACGAATACCTTTGGTATTTAACTGGGCCTGTCAATTTACAATGATGCCCCCTCAGAGGCATCTGTGAACAAGGGATGCCACAGGTGAGTTTTACTAAGCTCTTCATACTCAGAGGTAGATGTCATGAATAGGCAATATATATGCATCATTTTAGAAGCCGGAATTAAGTCTGATTTTTATTTTTTTATTTGAGTAGAAATATAGCAATAATTGTTTATAGATATATTAATAAAACTCGTAAATTAAGTATTTGTGACTATTTGCTTTTTTAATTGACTATGTGAGTCTGAAATACTCGTTGTTTTTTTATTTATCTACATAGACATAGTATCAAAGTCAGAAAGACCACTTATATAAATGTAAATAAATATAATATAAATGTATTAAAAGATGTATAATTAAATTTAAAACAATAAAAAACTTTTAAAAAGTAGGTTACCTATAATGCGCCTAATTGACGCTTCGCTAGTGTTGAAAGGGTCGACGTTTATTCGCTTTGATAGTTCATTAAATCTATTGCACACATGATACTTAAAAAAATTGCGAAAATTGATGGGATCGAATCCCACCTCAGGGTAACAGGGACCAAGTGGATTTTTTAAGCATTTTCCATTAAGAATACTTTACTTATTATTAATTTATAAATCCATACAAACTGTTTTTTATATTCTTTTTGTTTGTTACAGTTTTTTTTTATTTACCTAATAAAATATGTATATCAAGTTATCAAGGTAAATGTATGTCTACTAGGATGGGCCAACTACTACTATATGTACCCTTTAAAATTATAATGAATAAACATTTTTGATTTTGATTTTGAAATGAGAGGCTGACTACCTTTCATTTACTTAAGCACCGAACCAGCTAACAACGCCAAGGTTTCGACCATATCCCGCTTCAATTTGAATTTTTCACCACATAATCAAATAATACTAGATTCCGCTTCCTGACGTAACAACA